TGTCTCATCAGCTGAATCCGGGTGCTTCTCCCTGGTGAGATACGCACTATTGAAAGTGCCCAGGCTACAAACAATTCGTTTCTTCCATTGAGTACGTTTTGAACGGGCGTGGTTTACCAAAATAAGTTGGTTGACTGAGAGATGAAAGTACAACGAAGAGTACCGTGATAATATGCCAACGAATTGGTTTCTCTCCGAATTTGGCTCACTTTCCCACAAATCTGCAGGCTGAAACCCCAGTTACGGCGGGGGAGGGGGGGGGGGGGTGAATCCCCTGCAACTGAAAACGGGAACCGCACCCTGGTTGCAAGTAAATAGGAAGTAAAAAAGCAAACGTTGACTGCGAATGTAATGAACTACCTGTCAAACGTCACGCAAAACACTATGCACGTGCCGCGCTTAAAGGCGCTGTTGATTCACCATCTGAACAGTGGAGCCGAGTGCATGTCACTGAGCTGGTTTGCAATAAATAAGCTGAATGAATTAGGGGGATCGTAAACTTGCATTCGCCATTCGCTTCATCAATCTTGACACGCTTTCTTCCTTTTACGCTTCAGAACCTCCTAAGTATAGAATTTTGGATCCAGCAACACCAGTCTGGAATTTATCGAGACGGGTACGTTCGCGCCGCAGAGGGGCGATGGTGGCACGGTAGTTAGTGGTTAGGTGCTTATCTCTGGACTTTTCCATCCTGGGATGAAGTTCTGGCCACACCACTACCGCATCCCACCGACGTAATGCCTGATTAATACGTAATAGAGGCGTTCCGCCTCGAAGTAGCCGTAACGGCCAGTGAGACGTAAAACCCCAATCGTCATTACAGCCGTCCCGACAAAAAACCGCCTCCCGCCAAATTTGCAGACAATGCTTCCGCTCAATCACGCTCTCTATCCCAATCTCTCAATCCGCTCAATATATACATATATATATATATATATATATATATGCATATATATATATACATATATATATATATATATATATATATATATATATATACGTGGGAAAAACAATGTGCAATCGGTTGGACACGGAGCTCGGACACAGCCGGCAGGTGGCAGCCGGCTTCGGCTGGCAGCCACGCCCGCGGCGGGCAGGCGGACGAGGCCGCCTGGCCGCCAAAAAAAGAACGCATTCACGCGCGCACCGTCCCTCGCCCGAGAACTGAACTCCGTCACACGCGCGAGGCCTGTCCGTGGGGCAGCCCGTCCGCCGTCGAAACACTGCCAGCTCAGTCGGGCACACCGCTATCTTCGCGTCAGAGCCCAAGACCCCTGACTCGGTTTCGCTCGGTTCGCAGGGGTACACATCTCGGTGGACCGGACATCCGGACATGTCGGACATCTCGGGATCTCGCTCGTGCTGGACCGGAGCCACCACTCCCCCCCCCCCCCCTCTTCCTTAGTTTTGACGGGTGCCTTAATGGGAGAGCCTCATGTCAGTCAGGAACCAGCACCGGACAGGGTCCCCCTGCCGTTTTTTCTAGGGCCCAAATGCGTCAAACTGGAATCCCTGTGCCACCCTTGGGACCTTTTGGGAACGGTGAGTGGCCCCTCGTTGATCCAGGGTCAACCATCCCGGTCAGAGGGCCTTCGGCGTCAGACAGGCCCAATGTATGATGTATAGTAACAGTAACCGATTGGAAATCTGAAAGGGGACGGAAAGGTCCTTCAGCCCTAATCCAGAAATGCACGGGTTCTCAAGTCTTGGCTGAAAACTCTGTTGAGGTACGGCTGTTCAAGGGGGTGTGGGGATGGGGCGGGGGGGGGTAGGAGAAGGGCGAGGGGTCCAGGAACCCCTTGGAAGGAGCTCTTTTCGGAACCGTGAAGTGAACGAAATGACCATACTAAATGAGAAGAGCAAAAACAGTATCGATCAAGGCAAAGGGCCGTTGTAGGTTAAGTCGATCGAATTTGTTATCGAAAATTAGCTTCAGTGCGTGTTTCCGTTCACTTACGACAGTCTCATGGCAGGGCAATGCGAATACGGGAGTATTTACGTATATAATAATACCTACGGATATAATAATACATACTCACGAAAATCAGAAATACTTACGCCTCAAAAACACTGCCAAGCCAAATGCTCACATGCATCATGTATGTTTTCATGATTGACGGTGACAAGTTATTTAGATGACTGACTCTTTCGGTGAAAATGACAGCATATCATGCAATTCTCTGTTTCTTGTGAGCATTGTCTAGCCTCCGGAATATCTGGCCAAATTATGACCAGAGTGACATAACGAGAGAGCTTTGACACCCACAGATCGGAGTGCAAAAGTGTGGGTTCATGTAATGTTACTCTCAGGAAATGTGTGGCGGATAGTAATATCCCCTCTGCAGGTGGGTTGTACGTATGTTTTTGTACCTATGCTCGCTGTATGTCTTAACCATCGCCCTGATTCGCCGTTTTGCATAACTCGGACGGATGGAGGAGAAGAGGTTGATGCGACCCTCCCCCGGCGCTTCCAAGTTTCTAAAGATAGAGCTTGCCGAGAACACCAGTATATTGTTCTGAACACGATCTCACGATTGGTACCAGTTCTTATGTTGTTGACAGGTCAAAGGTGGAATTTTACAGAACACCGCACTTTGTAGCTTTACTTTATGTTTACGAGAACAAGCCTTGCAGTGACAAGAACCTTAGGTTGGCGTGCGTCTTGTTCAGTTCTGAGTACATTCTGTAGCGCGATTCTCTTGCCGCTCACCGCCTGAGCCAGCCCTCGATCGCCGTCGAGTGCTCATCACAAACTGACGCTGCTCCGAAACCAGAAAATCTAGCAGCGCGTTTTGGTGTCAAAACACGTGCCATAATCACCGTCTGTAATGGTGAGAGTTAAACGTCATGTTATTTTTGCGTTGGGTATCGGCAACGATTTTTCTTGAAACGATTTTCCACAATTCGCTAATAACTGAACCCAAAGCGGGCAAAACAGGAAAAAGCAATGCTTGCTCCTAGCTTGATCTCACGCTGACCCCGTCCCAAAAGACCAAGTCTCTCGCAACAGGTTGTACTCTGTCCATGGGCTGGCACCGAAAGGTTCCGATGCTCGCGAAACTCTCCCCGTCCGAACAACATCTTCATTGACGCGCCAGACTGTCCGCATGCGCTTGGCGACAGGCAGGTCGGCGCGAATGAAAATGGCGCGTACAATAAGATGATCGACCGAGGCAACCGATCGCTGTTATCGCGTAAGCCGAACTGCAGTGAACGCGTAAGACCGAAGGAAATGTGATAAAGATACGGTAATTTGAATATGATCAGAATAGTTTTCAATATGCTCAGCTCGTTTCATCGTTTCGCTAATTCTTTGATACTTAATGTAGCAGCACACAGTGCGCTTACGGCAAGCCCAGTGTGTGCGGCATGCTACAGATGCTCTTAAAGCGGGAGATGCAATAGTGAAGCGTTGGGCGGCGATCAGCCGATCGGTTATAGGAACACCGAGACAAATGTCAGAACATCATGTTATTGTCGGTATTTAGCGGATACGTGGCCAGTAGGCAGTCGGACGGTGGCGGGCTCAGCCATTTAATTTGCCTTTTCTGCCATTTCAGGCGTAGGCAGGTTGCCCTGATGCATGCCTAGGTTAAGATGACGGCGTGCCGATCTTTTGTGTTTCTTTTCGCATTTTTCTAGTCTCCGTAATATCATGCCTAGATGTGAACGGAGTTATTTAACGGGAGACATATGCCACCAGAAGAAGAGTGTGATTATGTGAATTCATATCATGTAATGCTTAGAAATATGTGGTTGATGGTGATAGCCCTTCTGCGTGTTTTATGTCGTACGCATGTGTAAGTACCTACTCTCGTTGTCTTACACATTATCTTATTGCTGCATTGGATATCGATATAAAACGTTTCGTGAAAAGATGATCCTTATTTTGTCGACAAGTGCAACCATATGAGGCAAGAATGTTTGCTTATTTCCGTGTTTACTTGCTCATTGTTTCATCTCACATTAAGCTCGCCTCCGAAAACCGACTCCCACGCGACAAGTCGCGATCTGTCTGGGGTCCGGTGCTAGATAACTAGGGCGCTTGAGACACTCAAAGCGGGAGATGCCCCCGTCCGACCAATTATGAATGTTATTAGAACATTTTCATCCACTCGCCGAACTTCACGCGTTTGACAACAGGCAGGTTGGCGCGAATGAAAATGGTGTGAACGATCAGCTGATCGGCGAATTTCGGTCCTAAAAAAGACATGACCATGAACTGCATCAAAATGTCTTCAAGATGGCCATTTCAGTTAAAATACCATACAAATGTGGAACATTCCCTTTAAATGAGAGCCGTTTGCTGCTGTAACCAGTTGTCTGCACTCTCCACTTTTTCAAAGGTGGCACGCTGCCATTTTGTACGCACATATTTGGATCCTTTTGACAAAAGGTGATATGAAATGTCACAAAATGTCATCTAATGTTTCATGTTACTTAGTCATGTCTAATGTCATGCACAGTTAAGCATGCCAACATTATCTGACACACGCTTTGCAGTCATTCACCTGCGTATAATGTGGAGGGGGCATTTTAACTAATACTTAACACTTATGTCCTCAGGTTACGGCATATACACCAAAAGCATAACAGCTATCATTTCTGTTCTGAGTTAGCAGTCAATGAAAGGAGCGTTGTGATTTGCGTTAACTGGCGGACATATGACATACTTTGCTACCCAATTCCACAGGAAAAGAGCGAGATTGTTTGCTCAGCAAAAGTACTTTTTATAAATTGTAAAACTGGGAGTGGTTAATATACATTTGTGAGGTACAGTGCGTCTAATTATACCTGAAATCAATTAATTGCATATCTAAGAAATGACCGATAGGCTTTTCCGTGACTGACCCACAGCTGGCCGATTTCCATCAATTTTCAGTTGACAAGTTGTTTGGTCTCCCACTAATATCACTTGTTCGAACAGGGCGCAATTCGCTTCCCACCGAAGTCAGCTGAAAAAATTGCATCCTCGCCTCGAGACAGGAAGACTAATCGACTTTAGTTGCCAAATGTATTGATGATTTCGGACCACAGATCACAGATAACACGCGGGACTGACACGAAGGCTCATGGTGCACAGAGACACTTCTTCGCAGTGGTGGGACACGGGACAAAGACGACGGAGGGACGAAGGAAGCGGGAAGAGGGAACAGAAGGCTCTTCTAGGGAAGGTGGTCACCCTGGGCAAAGTATCCGTTCTCGTCGGCCTCCCACGTGACGGTGTAGGTGACGCCCTCCCAGTCGTACGAGTAGGAGCCGGTCCTCACGTAGTTGCCCGTCTCCGGCTCGTTGCCCGGGTACGAGATGCCGTTCTCATCGGCGCGGATGCCGTTGCTGGTTTCGTGCCTGGAGAACAGGTGTCCGAATGAACCAATGCGATGTTGAAATCGAATTTGACATGCACAGGAAATTGAATGGCATGCTTTAAACACCACGGTTGCTTATTGTTGTTACGCACAAGCATTTTGATATTTAGGTGATGACCTCACCGCGCCTCGACAATGGCGTAATTAGCAGCGCATTGGACGAATGCAGCTTTTATGATAGTTATATGATATAACAATGATAAATAAGCGCCTAGCATCTGCCTTCTTGGACTGGTATTCCTACTGGGCCTCATAGGAGCCATCCTCGTTGATCTCGAACTGCTGGTTCACGATTTTGGCGTCCTTGTCGGCCCAGGCTAGAGCCACCAGGCAGAGGACAATCACCTGCAACACGTGATACAAGGTCGCATTAGGTCAGCGTCGACACGAGAATGGCGTGAATCCCGTCACCAGGTGACGGCATGATCAACAAAAGCCGAGGCACCATGCCCACCAGCTTTAAACACTTGTCCTGCCCCGCCCATTGTGCACTGGCCCTCGGTCATAGCCGTGGGAACTACGATGTGGTGAATGGCACCGACAGTGTAGTGGTTTACGCGTTTGCGTGAACACGCGGGACGCGTGACGCGTCTGCGTTAACCATTGCATGTCTGGGAAATTGGAGGTACGGGGTTCAGTTGCCAGCGGTGCTCGCCCTTCCTGCCAAAACAAAAGGCAGGCGACGCCATAAAGCCTCAGCAGCTGAGTGCGTCGGTGGGTTCCAATGCCGGCGTATCGCATGGTAAGACGTCGGGAATACACTTTCTGTTGCCCCCTCTCCCCCCTCTTCATTATTTGAAAAAGTTGTCCCCAGATGTATGATGATGTGTGCAAGAACACACATCGAAATGCTTCTGAGCGCCACCGCTTCTGCTGTTGGTGACATGGCTTGGGTCCTGGTGATATCAAATTTTCTCGCGCATATCCGTGCAAGTGATATCGACCTTATGCTTGAACTTTACACAGTCGCTAGCGAGTTCCACATATACTGACGATCAGAGCGCTATACTCACGAGCTTCATGTTTGGAGCGGGCGGGCCTGGACGACTGTTGGGCAGAGCAATGCGAGTGGTGCCGGTGAGGAGGCGCAGCACGCTTTTATAGCAGGTTGCCCAGCCCGCTCTCAGCTCAGGGGAACCTCTGCTCATCCGCCGTCGGAGTCGGCCTTGGTGTGTCAAAAATATTTGCCAGGAGACCGGCTATTGGCGGACAGGGCGACACCCGCTTACCGCCCCGCGCGTGAACCTCCGATTACGCTGGTCAGAAAGCCAACCGGGAAGGTGTGTTGACATCTCCCTTGGTCAACGATTAGCCTGTAGACGGGCATAATTTTTTGAATGCATTCCACAGAAAGCCCGTTTGGATCGGACGTTTGGTGTCATGGTACCCAAGAAGCAGTGAGTTGTCACTAGTCTTGCCAGCACCACTGCACGGGAGTCCATGGCTATCCGACACAAACATGCGGAAAGGACTGAGATGAAAAAGCCTCTGATTTACCGGATATGATCGGTGATTAAAAGTGACACTTATGCAAACCAATTTGTGACAAGCTGCGGAAATGAAAACAAATTTCAACAGAGAAGACCATATTACAACAGATCATCCCAGCTAGACGAAACTCAAGGCTTCGTGTTGGTCTGTACTAGCTAACGGTTGCATCGTGAGCACAAGTAAAGCACTTTTCAAAATGTTGATGTTTCGCTGTATGAGCAAGCTGAGCAGGAAGCTGCTGCCAAACATAGTAGCTTTAATCAAGATAGCTTTAGCATGTGACAGAATCATACTACAAACTATGCAAAATTAGTGCTAGCGTCACAGACCAGAGGTGTCACAGTGCTCTTCCAATGCTCCTCAGATCAGTGCTTTTCACATATTTTTTTCCGCCAGAATTCACCTCACATACCAGACAGTATAAAATGCCTAATAACTAGGCTTATTGCAAGTCGCAAGAATCGTGACTGGCCACAGCATCTTGCGACGAACGTGATGAGTTTGCCACGCAGCACTTTAAGGCGTCGCGCTATTTGAGACAGATGGGCTTGATTGCTCGCCACGCGGTAATGCGTTGGGTTCAGTGCATAGCTATGGGCCAATGTTGGTTGCGTTCATGTCTTGAAGAGCTGACTGGCTAGAAGACCATGGCTAATCATCAGTTTTTTAAAAAGTAATAGCGTTAAAAAGCCCTGCAGATCTAGGATATTTGTTTGTGAATACCTGAGCTGTGGCTTCAGAGGTTGGCGGAGGTCGTTGGAGCGACACGCGTCAAGGAGTCATCGGGGGCTTCCTGCTGCTGAGAGGAGCAGCAGGTTTGAGGTAAGAGGCCGAGCATCGCAGGTGCAGGCCTTTCACATGACCCGTCGCACCTCAGGCTTAGCGTGGTCAGTGGACAGGCGTGAGACAAAACGCTTGTAGTTGTCATCACCTTGCATGCAAAGCTTAATAAAGGTGCTAGATGTGCTGAGAAATGTCACTTGCATCTGTTACTACTAATATTGCGTGGATTTTGCTCTAAACAATTGGGGTCATGTCAGGAAGTGCAAATTCTGCACCGGCAATGATTATGCCAAGATAATGAAGGTGGCCAACGCTTCCCGCTGATCGTACAATCACGTCACAAAACCAAGAATGATATTATTTCAGATGCTTGTACAACCAGAGTATCGGCAAACGAGTATCTACAAGGATGCAGTTTTGAAAAATAAGTATGGATGAGAGAGGGAAGGGGAAGGGGAGTGGAGGAGGCGATAGGGGTGCAGGAAGAAAAATGGCTGAGCCTGCCTCCGAAATGCACCCAGAACAGCTTTCTCCTAGAATGGATCCACTTTCTTTTCACGGTTGGGAGCAGGGGTGTAGTTTCTTAAAACTTGTTTGGGGGCTGCACCCCAAAGCTATGATACAGAAAAACAATGGATAAAACAATAACTTCAAATAGCAAACTGCATCCCTGGTTAGGAACACCATGCGCCCTCCCCCAACTGAACAGGAAACTACACACCTTTAAGCTGGTTATGTTAAGTATGCTTTAATCTGATAATTACGTGAGTTGTTCAGTGCACCAGCCTTATTTCTCGGAGAAAACCATTAGAATTGAGATATAGTTGAGTTGATATTTTGGCAACATGCCTTTACGGAGACAATAGCAGAAGTAAGTTCAAAATTGCCTGCCGATGATCCTATCGATTTTTCAGGTTTTTTTTGAAACAGTAAGCCACAATTTTTTACAGGACACCATCATTCAGGGGATTAAACAAAGGGCGATTGCCAGCCATTACCACGATACAGTAGTCCTTACCTAAGAATTAGAATGCGCTAACACATACGCGTAGATTCAAACGAATTCAAGCAAATAGGCATCACGCAGCACGCTTCACTTGAACATGCAAGCGAGTTGAGGTAAACAGGCATCACACATCGCTCCGCAATTATACATGCGAATCATTTCGATTGAACAGGCATCGCACAGCACACGTCAGGCATCACTTACACATACATGTAAGCGATCTTAAGCTAGTACACATCACATAAAAAGGCACATCTCACGTTCTCATAATCGGTCATGATGAGCTCTGTATGTTAAGATTTGATCGCCGGCTTTTTATAAGAATATATTCACTTATTTTTCCGTCTGGGTCGTTCTGTGCTCTGTAGATGACTTTGATTTCTAAAAGGGTCCATACTTCCCTCAATGGACCGCGTCCTGGTGGATAGCAGCGGCATTCAAGAGGTTTGCGTGGGCTGTTTTCACAAGAACGCAAAGCTGATGGCAAGAATCTCCTGACCTTCGAGATGTAACTGATGTAAGGGCCTACTGAGTCACGCCGTTTGTGATGTTCATAGGCAATCCTGCATTATGCAGTAGTGTGAGAACTGCCCGGGTCAGGATTGTGCACGATCGTTTTTGATTGGTGCAATTAATGCGCAAGTAGATAACGCGATGGATCCGGTCAATAAAATCAGATTCACTAGTGGGTGAGCACCGACCCCTGTACTTTAACCGAACGGGATCTGCCAGTGGATGGGTTTTGGCTGAGTCGTCCGAAACCATAGCTGCCATGACCCGACATCGCTTAACGGCCCTGCACCAGGGAAACTTTTTCGATGATCTGAAAAAAAGAACTGCCCTAAAACGAAAATTTGATCGGTTTAGGCTTTTCGGAAAAATCCACCTTCGCCATCCAAGATGAAGCTGTGCAGTTTCACTGGGATATACCGCATTGCACGCTGCATCCTTCCGCATTATATTGGTGAGGAGCTGGACAGATTACCGGTGAAAGCTATTGCGTGTTGTTAGACGCGATGGAAGATTACACTATTGCCGTCCATGCATTTCTATAGTACCCTTAACCGGAAGTGAAAAGACTCATTTAAAATTGACCTTTCAAAGGTCATGGTGACCAGCTCATACAAGACTACTTTGGGTTTTGTACTTGATTGAGCGTCAAAGTTACGCTAGACAGTATGTTCCTAACATGGAAATGTTGACCTAGATCTCTTTAGGTCAGTGACCTATCCTGTCCTTTAGGAAGTCCATGGAAATCTATAATACCGTTCCTGTTATTAATCAATTCGAAATGAGTACCAGGAACTACCAAATACAGCACGCTCTAAAGTAATAAAGTTGGTTGGTTTTGACCAGGGTCTGCCTAAAAAATCTATCACAGAGTAGAATGATTTTGTCTAACACTCTGTTTTTGCATCATTTAAAACGATTCCCATAAACTGTCATCGCTGAATTCATAGCCTGACTTTGACTGGCCGTAGGTCTGTGGTACCAGTGGTGCGGTACGCCCTACAAGATACATCCAGAGTTTTATGCCAAGCGATCTGCTATGCCACTATCTACAGCTGCGCAGTTTTTCAGTCGGAAATAATTCCGGGGGATCTCCGGGGGATCAAAGTGACCTGGGCCCGAGCGCGCGCTGATAAATATTTTTGCATTGCAATTTCTACCTGTGTTCTACCAATTTCTACGCGCTTCATCAGTGCAAAGTGCACAGAACACTGTTAACAAGTGCAACGGTAGAAGATTGGCTCGGTACTGTGAATAAGTTAAGCAAATCTTGTCTCTTTCCTGTGGAAAATGTAAGCGCTCTGAAGACCAGCATCCTTCACCTCACACCCACAGCTGCATACGGGTCATTATATCATGCCACAATACAGCAGTGAGGTAGTCCCACAACGAAGCTGTTGACCTGTGCCATTACACAAGGTACCACATTGGTTGACTACTTTATGCCAAGCCTATAAGACAGCAGCTTATATTTTATGAATGACTGGTAGCAACTGATTGGACAATGCCAAAGGACTATCAACGGCAAGAATGTCATTACACCACAATGTTATATCAGGGCAAACTATTAATTGCATAAATAATCCTAAGAAAACATTTTTGGTAGCGCAACCTTACCACCTTCACTACAGCAATAGCAATATCAATCAATTTGTAGAAGCGTCACAAATGTATTAATTTCTGCATGACACCGCATTTCCAGTTACAAACAACAACGAAATTAACTATTGTGCACATCACATGATATCAATGTCAGGAGTACAACACTGCAGGCAACGATGAGTCGACAATAAAGTATTGACGAAATCATTATCAACAGCGTAGCAGCAACAGCAGCAGCACAGCATATCGCACTTTAATATTAACAAACTGCCATAAAAGCTGGTGATCGCTACGTTGCGTATGTCAAACAGTCCACCAAAGTCTTTCTTACGGCCAGCACCAGGACAAAAAAAAGTCCACATGATTAGCGTCAGATTTCGTGTGTCTTGAGGTAGTCTTTAGGTCTGACTGCCAGATGCTGCCAGGTATTGCTGTCGTCACAAAACCATTCCGTGACGCCACTCAAACAATGGCGTAATGGGTTGCATTTTTACAAACTTTGACATTTTGCTTCTTAGCGTCGTTTTTGAACCTTGAAAGGCTACCAATAGTTATAAGTAAGCTTTTCCCATCACATCTGATGCCTACCTCGACATCTTCAAATGTGGAACATTCCCTTTAAGCAAATTTGCTCTTCAATGCGTCATGGTTTGATTACGTCAACGTACCTTGCACAA